ATGTATGTGTGCATAAAAGAAGTGCAGAATGATTAGAATATCAGCTTGGAGGGTTCAGGGTATCTCCTAGTCGAGCAGTCTCGACTAGAGCTTTCTTACTTGTTTTCATCTCTATCCGAGCATATTAATTAGTTTCATTAAAATGAATGCTTGGACAATTGAAGGGGCAAACAAGTGAAGCAAGAGTTATTCAAATGTCATACAAATATATTTAAATGCATGAATTACAAATAAGAAAAACATTTTGGGAAGGGGGAAAAACATTTTGGACAAAGCGCACTCTTGATAAACAACATTTAAAGTCGAGTTGCGTTTCTTAAAAAGCTGGCTCGCTGGATGATTAGTTTGTTAGTTAAACATTAGTAGGAAAAGGAAACGAGCAACCGAGGCAAATATTTGTGTAAAGTGTGGAGTAAAAGAGCGAAACTCGCATTAATGCGAGCTTTTATTTGTTTTCGTTCTTGTCGCACTGCCTTTGGATAATTTTAAAGGCAAGCGTGACTTCTCAGGCTGCCTGATATGTTTCTTTCGATTTTTTTCTCGTTTCTTGCTACGGCAGCAGCACCGTCTGTGCTCCTTGCCTGGCCCTAATGTGAGCGGCAGACGGCGTCATCTGGTGCCTTATGATTTAATAAAGTTGCAAGTGTGCACAACCGCCGCCACGTGGGACACACACACACACACATACACATGTGTATGTATATATGTATATACTACTTGGCAGCAGGAGGCGCCGTTCACATTATCAACGACACCAGCTAGTAGCTCCGCCGTGCTGGCCTTTTTCCCGGCTGCTTTTCAGCCAGCCATATTATCTGGCTGCGGCGCATGTCGTCGCAGAAAGCTGTCGTCAGAGCATAGACGATGTCGTCATCGTCGGCGGGATATATTAAATTGTGTTAAAACACTTGCGCTTTACATGTCCCCAGCTCTCCAATTCTGCATGTCTGCATGTCTGCTTGTCTGCCTGTCTCGATGTCTCGATGTCCCGATGTCGCCCCATGTGCCCGTCTCGACTGTTGTCATTTCCCGCCTCCATATCGAGAGCGCATCTCTGGCTGGCTCTGTGCAATGACGCGTGCTTTGCCAAGAAACTGACTTTCATCAGCAGCTCCAATGCATTTCCATTCGCTCTCTTGTATTTCTTGTATCTCTATATCTTGCGTTTAATTTCCGTCAAATTAAAACATATGTCACACCTTTCTGAGCATCGCCAGCCTATCGCACTTAACTTATTGTCGAGCAGCAACAACTATCGCAACTAGAAGAGACATCGTTATTTCATTTCTCGGGGGAGACATATTTTCGACTACGGTTTTAGTTGCAGTTTTCCAGCTAGCCAAATAGCTGCGCCAGCCTCACTCTCTCCTTTTTCCTCTTTTTTATTTTTTTTTGTAACGGTAGACAACTGTAAATAAATGCATTAATCCATTTCGGTCCACGGCTTGTGGCTCCCGCCGGAGCAGCAGYAGCAGGAGACGGCGCAGCAGCCAGAGTGTGGACTTCGGAGCGCGCTACACCTCGCTTCATAATTAAAAGCTGCACTCCGAAATTTTTCAATAACAGCTATAAATCAGGCATATGGATGCCAAGGGAGGTGGCTACACATAAATAACTTCACATACACACACACACGGGCACACACACACACACACACGAGCGCACACACACACACATACACAAACTCATGCACTTGTACAAGCACGAACACACAAGCTAATAGCAATAGCTTTCACATAACAGACTCAGGTTTGGCACGTATCGCGGGGCCAGTGGCTCCATCGATGGCCCAGCGAAGCGTGAAACGCTCCAATTGGCTCCTCATTAGTTACGCCACTGATATTTTGAGCATTAAAAGTTGTTTTAGATTAACTCTGGCACAACAAGTGCAAGTCCTCCACATACATATACATATATCTATATATACATATAGACATTTATTCTGCTCTTGTTTTGATGGGCTATAAAAGAGTAGCAAAAATAGGGTATATCAGGAAGATGACACCGGTAGAAGTGTTGTTTAGGAAATATACTCTATAGTTTTAAAGGTTAAGTTGAAGACTCTTTCAGCGATTGAGTCGATCAGAGCTGAAGAGTTCAAGACAGAAACAGGATATATCACGAGAATGCAAGATTTGAAGATGAGACCAGTAGAGCTGTTGCTTAGGCAATATAGTCTATACCCATTTAGATGTAAGTGAGTAACTGTATATGTATTAACTAAATATTAAATTTGAACTAGCTCAGTGGATCAATCACAGCTTAAAGTTAAGCTGAAGTCATTTATGTTATATATGTAATTTATGAACACTAATCTTAACTAGAAATGGGAAACTGAAATCGGGTAACAAATAACATAATGATATAAATATTGATAGTAAAAGTCAAAGAAGAGCAAGGCTGAAGTATGCTACTTCAAATGGACAATTGATCTCTTACTCGCTAATGGATCATAATAGATCAGCTTTATACTACATACATGGGGTATATACATATCTGGATTGATCATGCTCCCCACAATGAAAAGAAATATATTTCAAAAGCCTATCAAAAGAATAGCAAGTACCCAAAGCCAACATACTCGTATCAGTTGATCTACGAGTTAAATGTGATAGAGGTGTGTTATTTGAGTCATTCGATCGCATTTCAGGCTTTTCTACATTCGGCCACATTATTGATTTCTATCAGATTGCCAAATGACATGGAGGTAAATGGAACAGTTTCGGTTGAATTTGTATGGCCTTTCGAGTGGAGAGTGCTGCACGAGAATTAAATAGTTTGCCACGTCCTGGTGCGCACGGTTTGTGTTTTACATTTTCATTGTTGGCGAGGACTGCGCAGCGTTGGCTTCTTTTGCATACAAACTTTTTGGAGAGCCACGCACACTTGCACACGTTAGAATATGCAATAGCATTTATGAGCTCGTGTGTCAATGTTTTTGTTCATGATTCCTTGACTGTCTATCCAGGCGAGAGTGCCTCGGGCTGTGGCACCTGTCGCACAAAAAACACGCCATGAAAATACTTTGTATGTGCACATATCGATTCGGTGTCTCGTTGTATTTTAAACAATTTCGCTGAATTCACGAACTTTTGCAACAATTTAACTGTTCAGCCGGATCACTGGATCGCCATATCTGGCTGATATGGCTACCTGGCTATGGCAAGGCCAAGAGTTTAAGATACTTACTTAAGCTACATATGTACTAGCGGTAACAAAAATAGTAGTAGTATTATTGTCGGAAGGAAAAATTCAGTGATAAACTCCATATATCAAAAACATTTTTAAACGAATTTTAAGATTAACATATAATGTTATTCATTTAGATATATATATTAAGTTATCTGGTCTCTATATTTTGTATAGTAGTACTCTATCTACTATAAACTAACATATTTTGACTATGCAGTTAGCTATAAAGTGAAATAGAACTAGATTCATTTGAATCGGACTCTAATAAGTTTCAGCTTTTGATGAAGAGAATTTTAAAATCATGTCAAATAGGGTGAGAATTGAAGTGTTTAAAGATAAAAATGTAAGATATAATGGGAGAATATTGTGATAAAATTTTGACCATAAATGAGTGTTATCAAGGCGGTATTAATAAGATTCGACAAAGAAGCACTGACGTTGTTCTACCTACCCATTATGGCATGGGAAGAAGCACGATTATAGGGAAAAAGCCTTCTGAATGAAAGTGCAGTGCAGATGGACTTCAGGTCTAGCTTTAGTCTAGTCTCGTCTTGTTGCTCTTAATTGCGTTTTGTTCTTTCCTGCCGTCGATGTACTTAGATATCAACTGTTAGCTTTGCCAGTGTCAACAGTTTTGCGGCTCGCCGCACTTCAAATATGCCACAAGCCGCAGCAAAGGTGGCAGCTGCAGTGGCATAGACGGCGGCGTCGGCGTTGGCGGCGTTGGCGGCAGCAGCATGTCAATAGAGAGGCAATACATAATGACACGAGCATATTCTATCCCCACATACATATGACCCGTGTGTGCAGAAGGCCTAATTGTGTTTGTCCGAATAGCCGTGTGGATGTGTCTTAATTTTTAACCAACCTCTGGGCCGCACAGCCTGCCTGCCCACCTCGCTCGGCTAGTTTCCAGTGGCGCAGCCTGTGTGTTTGGTAGCCGAAATGAACTTAATGAGTCACACATGCAGGGTGGAGCCTGTAGTGGGAGTAGGAGCTGCAGCCACTTTAGCTGCAGCTGGAGCTGGAGCTGGAGCTCAACCTAGAGYTGGTGCAAAAGCAAACACATTTTTCGGCCTTTCTGCCTTACCAGCAGCCAGCCAAGCCAGACAGTTGAATTCTCGTATTTTTTCAAGCATACTCAATTTGTACACATATCTGAAAGTACACACTCCCACACATACACTTAAACATACACACACACAGCCACATGCATTAATATTTATGCATATTTGCAAACTGAAAATGTACAACTATATTTCTGGCAACAATTATTCTAAAAAAGAGAGACAGAAAGAGAGAGAGAGAGAGAGAGAGAGAAAGAGTGAGAAAGAGCTGCCTCAACACCATTTGTATGTTGATAGTTTCCACTAGTTTTCAACTCAAAATAATAAAATTTAAACACAACGATCATTCTATAATTTATTTTGTAATCTAAAAATAAAATATTTTTGTCCACTACGGCTGGCATTTATGTACATAAATATTTATATGCAGGTATAGTATATGTATATGCGTATTAATATCCTAAGCCCATTATAAACTTGGGGTATAATAGTTTAATACAAGTGTACATGACAGTCAGAAGGAAGCATAACAAATGTCGTATATATATACATACACACTATATATGCTCTGCATTAGGGGGAGCTAGGTGAATACCCGCTGCTCAACTCAGTCCTCTTTATTAAAACATATACTGTATATTGAGGTTTATTTTTTTAGACAGTACAAATGTACTTTAAGGGCTCGAGTATTCAATACATACAAATGTTCTGAATACATTCATTAAAAAAAAAAAATATTTTTTTTTTTTTTCAATTCTACAAAAAATTTAAAGCTAAATCTTTTCATTTCGTTAAGTTATCAGAGCATAGAATGTTAGATCAGCCTTGCGCTACGGGCACGGTATCTCAAGGTCACACAGGGTATCCCCAAGTCGGACATTTCCGTCGACAACCGCCTTACGTGTTTAATTGAAAAATTGTAAAACTATTGCAGGCACTGTAAGCTATAAATGTTACAGCTAACTAAATAGATATTCCATTTCCATTTAAATATTTACACATCCATTTAAATTGTTAATTATTTAAACGCTGTGGGACTTGCCTAAGGGAGATAATATGTATTTAATTGGTGATTACAAAACTAGATGACAATATTTAATTTGGCCGTCATTTAAAGGCTTCTCGAGTTACTTTTTTAGGTCAGGTCTGGTCAGATCTAACATATTCTAGAGTAATTGATTTTGTAATTAGTTGTTTGACTAGATTGGTTAAGGATTGTTGAGAGATTATCAGAGATTGTTTGATATATAGAGACATATTATTTCAGTGATGGCACGGATTTAGTGGTAACGTTTTTAAACCTGTCAATAATCGATGAGAGATCTCATCACGAGATGACAGAGGCGTTCAGTTTCTCCTTCACATTTCAGAAATTTGGCCATATTGTTTATTTAATATCATATATATCGAAAATACGAGATGATGGAATATTTCAGCAGCTAAAATTTGTTTGATTATTTATTCTAATTTTATTTGATATATAGCTATGGGTAATAGCAGTGATACTATATGTGGTATAACAGAGACAATTTTATTTAAGGTGCTTGAGGCTTTGAATATGGCTAGGCTACTCTAAATTTACGCAAGGGGGGCAATAGCAAATCGGCCCAGAAAGTTAAAGATTGAAATTTACCTGATTGAAAAATATATCAAATTGAAAGAAATAACAAATATCTTTACATATTTTATACATGGAGATTGACCAAAAATTGTTCGACTGTTAAGCGCTCTGCATTGGTCGACTGCAACATTCATAAATATATTTCGTTTCTCACTTACAGCGCATTCAAGGAATAACGGTACATACGAGTACCTGTAATTCCAGTTCTCCGGCCCAACTGCTGCACAAAGCCCAAATTCTGTTTTCACGCCGTGAATGAGTAAGCTCAACGCTGCGAAGGATATATAACCTACAGGACGATAAGGATAGCCCCTATTTTCTGTGCTTTTTCTTTTTTTTTTTTGTGTGGAGAGGGGGGGGGGGGCTTTTGGTTGTTGTGTCTGGGCAAGTGAGGGTCCGAGAGAACTTTATGGCTTGCTGAATGAATGTGAAAGCTGCACAGCTGCCGCTGGCACGAAGTAATCAAAAAAGTTTCGCTCATAATTATCAGCTGCGAGGCATCTTCGAAGCCCTAATAGTGTTAGCGAGGAGGAGGCAGAGGCAGAGGCATGTGAAGTGCACTCGGCGACAAGTCAAATAGTGAAACATGAGAGGAGCAGGAGACAAGCAGCTGTACGGGCGGACCTTAAGCAGATGCTTGTTATCGCATTTGATGCGGATAATCATTGTTGTTGCACTCGGCTATGTGTCACTTGGATCAAAACAAAGCCAAACAATGCCCAACTCGAACAACTCCTCCCAATCGAACAGCGCTTGTCAGGCATTAGCTAATATCCTTAAGCAAACACGGAGCCAAGCAAACACCAACAGTGCACTCGAGCCGCTCTGCTGGGATTAGCCAGCCGGCGATTAGGACTGGCCAAGGTTACGCTCCAGCAATGGCCTCGATGACCTCACTCGCCCTCTGGGCAAATCATAAAATACTCGCAATGAAAGCAATCGCCCAGCGCCGCACAGGCGATTTAATTTTGCATATTTCACATGCGGATAACAGCTACAGCCAGCTACAAATGTGTGCAATTCAGATAACATTCCAAATAGCTGAAAACAATGTGCAATATGCAATTACTCCGACTCCTGCCCGCTGGCCATGCGCACAGTCTCGTGCAATTCATTTTTAAGCTGGGTTAATTATTTGTAATTGTAACCTCGTTTCGGCTACGTAAACAACCGAAATCAGGCAGCACGCCGAAGCTCAGATACCCTAGCGAAGAACACTGCAGGTGCAAGGAATAATGGGGTGGTCTCTCTATGATAATGAGGGCCAAAATACATTTTAGATAATCTGGCGCAATATTTGTTTACATGTGAGGAGAGGAACAACTTGATAGGGATTAGCTGTTATATAGGTAGGGTGTTGAGCGGGTCGAGTGCGTGCCGCCAAAACGTTCAGTGGGCTGCATAATTTAACGGGCAATTCACATACATGCAAATATATCGAAGTCAGAAGTCAATTGCCATTGGCAGTGCATTAAATTTCAGCAATTAGATATTAAAATCGATATTTGTATGAATTTATAATCGAAATCAGCTTAGGCAGTCGGCACTGTGCTGGCTGCAAGCTATGGCTGTACACCCGACACCCGACGGTGGTGCAATGCACTCTCTCCGCCATGGCCACGCCCACGCCGACACCCACGCTTTACCCCCTAGTTTGCCTCTTGAAAGCTTGTCACGCTTTTCAGCTGCGCAGCGATTTCGATTTGATTGTAATTCCAATTTTAATTGAGAGAGCTCGGCATCAAATTAATTAAAATAACTCACCGGCTTGTATTAAATCAGCAAAACCATCGACATTCTATGCACCTGTTGTTTGTGCAACTCTTGGCGCATACTCGATTCGTTCCATTTAATGCTACCACAAAAAGATATGCTAACAATTTAATTAAAATTGCGTTGGACAAACAGCAGCTCAAACACTCATACGCCGCCTAACAAACACGCCCACAACTAGCGATATGCCATATGCCCTATGCCGTGCCACTTGGCCATAAAAACTCCCCTATTCAATCACGTCTTGGGATAGCGTCAATACAAAAAAAAAAAAAAAAAAATCACTAAATTGCGCAATTTTCAAATGAGCGCTTTCTGGCCATTAGGTAAATCATTCAGTTTGTACAATTGGAAAGGGCTGAATAGGGTATATGTATTATTTTGAGGCGTATGTGACAGTCTTGAAAAGCAAAAGGTGTTTACAAGAGCCGACTTTAGCTGGAAATTTTTATCTTGAATATGTCTGTTAATAGAAAATACAAATAAGATGGCATCCGATTACAATTTGTCGAGATTTTGAGGTTCAGAAATAAAAATTTGGAATTAACGGCTAGTTTTTACTTTTCGACATTAGGATATTCAACGGACTTAACACTTGGTAATAAATCCTGATATTAAGCGAAAGACATGAATTGAACTATGAAACTCAGGAGGCTTCAAGTTGCAAATTTTTATATGAAGATACCTTAAATATTATTTGGAATAGGTTTAACACATTAGCGAGATGACCGAAATGTGTTGATCGATCTAAGCGTTTATTTTAGAAGGACAGGAGTTTTTACACGATCTTTCAGATATCGAGCATAAATTATAGCGAGTTAATTAGATATTTTCCAATTGGAGCTATGAGCTGTGCCAATTCTATTTAAAAATAACTAGATACAAGGATTTGCGATTGTATGTAATGCATATGTGTATATAATATCACGTATATCCCAATCATTGAATATCCTGGCTACAGATGCTCGATTTATTTACGATCCATATCAACTCAAACGTTGGAATTAATTTTCTATGTGCGATAAGCCATGGATTTTATACAAACACATATTGCTATGTTTGACATATTCCATTCCTGAAAAACCTTTAATAAGACAATTAGTATATTGATGTTTTGCATGTGCACACTCCGTTTTGTTTCGAGTAATTTCATACAGAGCATACAGATTACTTCATTTTATGTTTGCATATCTTATATTGTCATTATTTGAGTCATACAGCGCTGATGTCAATGACTTCACACATGCATGACAATAGTAGAACAATTTAAATTTATTATTATTATTAAATTTAAAATCAGAGCAAAAGAAATAATTCTTCCTGCTTTCAGTCTCATTTGTTTACCGCGCTGCATCGATGCCGGTGTGAATCGGGCACCGCGTGGCGTGCTTCCAGCGTGTTTGTGCGTGTGTGAGTAGAGCTGCTTGGGCGACTGGAAGGTAAACAGAAAATGTAAACAAAACGTGCGCCGCGTTTGGCCGGCTTCCGTGCGAAACTCACCACGAGTTGAAGAGCATTGGGAGCGAGGTGGAAGTTCGGCGGCTCAGCTTCGGCGGCTTTGGCTGCGTGAAGAGCACAAAACTGTTGCATAGAAACAGGCGCCGATGGCAACTTTCCGAAGCCGGAAGCATAGCCAATGGTCGCAATAATTGGCACACAGCCAACGGGAGCTAGTCATGGACCACGGCGACGGGCCGAGCGAGGCACAAGCACTCGTTCGCCTGGCAGCAGGACTCGCGAGCAGGCACGAAGCGCACGCAGCACACGAGCCGCACGATTAGCGAGGACTCGGCTCCGAGTCGCCTCCGTGGCCAAATCAAGCAACAGTTTTGCTCGAAACGTCAACACAGGCGGTCGCCATGGCCCAGCGCGCTCCTCTTCCGTCGCGGCAAACTTTACGTCGCGTGTGAATTTCTACGTGAGTTTCGCTGCGGCTCCTGTTGCAAGTGAAGTGTGTGTGCAGTTCGCGCTCTGACGTTGCCGGCAACAAAATAGAATAGAAAAGGAGTTCCTTTTTTTTTTCCAGTGATTTATAATTGCAACTGAAAAGGCAAATGAAACTGCATAGACATCACCGAAATTAAGACGCTCAGCAGATGACGAGAGGCTCGACTCGACCAAAATATAGGCTTAGTTCAGCTGATGATATTCGGTATGTGAAACGAAGACATGAGGCCAAGCGAAATGTGTCTCGGAATTAGCGAAAAATCAAAAGCTAATTTATAGTAATTTGCATTCATTACACAGACACACACACACACATACACATGACTGCTTCAATGGCAGCTGGCATTGTTATGGCAAGGAGGAGCCTTAACAAGTTTGAAAAAATCACAGGACAAAAGGCAAACTGAGAAATATTTGACTAATCGCTGGCCGCTCGAATGCGGCAGGCGGAAGTGCAATGCAAAGCAATTCAGATTCAAATGAATGAAAATTGAATGAAATTAAAACATTTTCATTTCGAACAGAAACATATTGCGAGTGAATTGATTTTCAAGTGTTTACCAAATGGAACTAGGCCAATTTCCCATTCACTAAAATTTGATGGAAAACATTTTCCGAGAATGAAAAACAAAATAAGTTCTGGCTTGAGGGGAAACCAGCTCAGAACTGTTAAAAATCACGAGTTAACCTAGATTTGTACGTTCTCCATAACGAGCCGATCCTTAAAGGACAGTTTTGAGTAGCCTCGATTTTAGCCTATTTGTTGAGGCGGGCAAACTTGATTAGGTAAATTTTTAGTTTTAAGGAAATGAAGTTGAGTGAGAAATGTGATTTACCAGCTGCAGCAAAATAAACCTACGATTTACCAAGCTAAATTTAAAAAGAAATATAATTTAATTTAATTTAACAAATTCTTTCATTCAACTGAGGTGACTCATGCAAAATTGCATTTCCTTTGAACTTAGCTTGAGATAAAATACATATATTCGAATATGACTTACACAATGTAGGCGAAAGGAGTTAAATTTTATAACGAAATGCAAATTGAACCATAAAGAAAATGTACGAATTTTTTTAAGTAAAATATAATTAAATATGAAATCTAAAATAAATAAATCTAAAATAAA